AAATAATAAATATGTTTTCATTTTTAACATATAACACTTATATTTTACATATAATTGTAAAATAAAACAAATAAATCATTTAAGTTAAATAAATTAAATTATTTATAATTTTAAGTTTTTTATTAAATTTTTTTGGGGAAATTAAAATTAAAATTATGCATTTCAGTTTTTATAATTATAATTTTCTGTTTTCCATTAATTTTGTGAAAATTTCTTTATTTAGTATTGTTATCTAATAACTCTATTTTTTCAAATAATAACTATGTTTTCATTTTTAACATATAATTATGTGTAAAGTAAAATATATAAATCATCTAAGGTAGATGGAATATATTATTTTTATAATTTTTAGTTTTTATTAATTTTTTGGAAAAATTAAATCTTAAATTATTTATTTTAGTTTTCCCAATACTACTTTTTTTAAATTTTTATTAAAGATGAAAAACAATCCAAAAGTAGTCAATATATAGTTTTGTCAAACTAGGCACGGTTACACCTTCCTATCAGTGTGTATCGAACCATATCCACCAATACAATGTGATACAACCAAATGCAGAGGTGTATCATGCCGATACAAACTTGTGAGATACGTATCCAATTGTGGCATATCTTGTATCCATGACCATGGAACAGATATGATATGCCCCGTATTGGGAATATTGTATTGATACCTTAATCCTTGGTTAGAGTGCAACACACAAAGCTAAGGGAGAGGACAAATTGTGTTACCATGGGTGTAGTGGCTACAAGGGAAGCAGAAGACGTACATTGTAAAAGAGAGTCGTTATCTTTGTCGCTTGCAAACAAATTCATCCATCCCTTAATCTTCATGCTTGAATCTAGTTGTAGAGACTTGGATTCACAATGAACAATGGAGAACTCTCTCTACTTTGCATCAATAGCTGGGGCGAGGATTGTAAGAGGAAAGTAGTTCCTCTTCATCCTTCCAATGGACCTAGACTATCTTACGGTTCTTGAAAATTTTCATCGGTTAGGTTTTATTTTGAAAATTTGAGGAATAGTAGAGGGTAAATTTGATATTTCGTTTTTTTTGTTAGTGCTTAACGACGGTGTCAATTGTCAAAAAGCTTAAAGGTTCGTGAAGATAATATGTAAATGGTAAGGATAGAGTTAGTCAATTTCCTAAACCATAGGGGTACTTTAAGAAATTTGCATAGAAAAGAAAATTTCCACCTAACAAAAGTATATTAGGAACATCTCCCGTACTTATCATTCATTGGGAGATGTTCCCAGTACACGGTTGGGATGAGTTCACATATGTGCTCCACAAACACCCCACATGTACATCTCAACATGCATTGGGAATATCTCCCGTACTTATCATTCATTGGGAGATGTTCCCAATACACGGTTGGGATGAGTTCACATATGTGCCCCACAAACACCCCACATGTACATCTCAACATGCATTGGGAACATCTCCTGTACTTGTCATTAGGAGATGTTCTCAACCTCGAATTTGTGTCACACTGCCATGCACCCCACACGATAAGAGTGCGCCACACATCCAGATACATGATTTTAGCTCCAAAATGAGCCCAAACCCAATTTCCCCTACTCTTACTCCCGCCCTTATTCCGAGACTCAAGCCTGAGAAGCGAGAACCCCTTGAATCCCATTTTACTCCATCCATCTGAGCTCAAATTCTGCTCCCTCTTCGGCACTGGCAAGGGCTTTGGCCACTTCACCGTCGCGAGGTGCTTTCCAACTCTCTCATATCTTTTACTCTTTTTTTAGGGTTTGATTTTATTTGACATTTTTTTTTTCATTTCAAGATAGAGGAGGGGAGTTTAATCATCCACCACCGGCCATCTCCGGCGGCCACCGACAAGTGCATATCAAGTGGTGTTATTGTTCAAACATTTATCAATTTATTTCATTAATTTGTTATTGTTCAAACATTTACCAATTGATTCTTCTCTGATTCAGACATATAGAGATAGGGGGAGTGTGAATCCTATGACCAAGAAAGGGATAAGTACAGAAACACAAGGGTCTCGCCAATCTACCATGTACACACAAGATTAAACTCCCCTCCTCCGCCTTGAAATGAAAAAAAGAAAATGTCAAATAAAATCAAACCCTAAAACAAAAAGAGTGTAAAAGATATGAGAGAGTTGGAGAGCACCGCATGACGATGAAGTGGCCAGAGCACCTCATCGGATGGATGTAGGGGTGTCAATTGAACTGGATTTGGTCCAATCCGGTCTAGTCGAATGTGAGTTCATTACAATTGGACCTGGTTCAATCCAATCCAATGAATATTTTGGACCATTTTAGACCATTTTGGAATGGTCCAGAGACTGTCCAATCTGTTCAAATTCCTATTAATTTAGATTTGTTTCAACTCAAACCTGGTCCATTGACACCTATATTCTTATCTTCTATCAATGGACCGGATATTGGCTCAATCTAATATAAATTCATTATGGACGGACCAGTTCCAATCCAATATGTCATATTGGTTTGTCCAATCCATCCAAATTCAATATTTCTTATTGGTCCATCCAATCTATCCAAATGGATTTTGATTTGAACGGAGTCCAACCCAAAACCGGTCCATTGGCACGCCTAGATGGATGGAGTAGAACGGGGTTCAAGGGTTCTTGCTTCTTAGGCTCGAGTCTCGGAGTGATGGTGGGAGTAGAAATAGTGAAAATGGGGTTTGGGCTTGTTTTAGCTTCGCACGCAGGAAGTACGAAATCGTGCATCTGGACATGTGGCACACTCCTGTCGTGTGGGGCGCAGATTCGAACTCGATGTTCACAAATCATAATATACCGTTGAGATGTACTGTGGGACGTTTGTGGGGCGTTCTTTCTGGAGCGCAAATGTGAATTGGGTTGAGATGTGCTGTTGGACGTTTTTAGGACGCGCTGGGCGCAGATGTGAATTAAACTTTGTATCGACTGTTTAACAAATTGATAGTCATTGTGGCTCACCTCGAACTAATAAGCAAATGAGAAATGACGTCGTACACCCCAGATCACCGTACCTACAGCTAACAAAACGCGGTTTCTGGCTGTATTATCCTAATTAATATTGATTTAATTAAATATTTGTTAGTTGATTTGGATCTGAAATTTGAAGTATTAAAAACAAAATCAAGACAGACACACGAGCAACTTCAATTCAAGTATGAACCAACTTTTGGCAACACTGGATGTCTACTGTCTTTGAGTTCCACTCCTTCCAACCGACAACCAGAGAAGTTGGATGTACGGTTTTTGGTTAAATTATGCAAATCAAAGAATATTATTTTATTCAAATTGGACTATTATTAAATTATAAATGATGCAAAAGGACTCAAGTGCCCTTTTAAACTAAACTTCATCATTTGAATCACTTTGATCATTTTATTTCAATTTAATATTAATTTGAATGTGCATTATTATTAATATTTATAAAGTTTAAACTGTATTATAAATTTGAATTATATATCAATATATTATGATAATCTTTAGGTAAAATATTAAAATTATTCAATTAAATCAATAAAGATAATATACTTTTTGAATCATGTATTATTATTGTTGAATAACAAGTTTTTAAATAATAATATCTTCACTTTTTTGGGAGGGGATCGAGGGGTAAAGAAAGAACAAGTTCTACCAGTACCCTGAAACCAACCCTATAACCAAATTTGACAGGATAGGTTCTGATTCCAAAAATCGGAAACCAACCCTAGGTTTCAACTTATGCCTTGAAAATGAACCGAAACTGACCTATGCTCTCCCCTATTTTTATATCTCTTTTTATTCCCCATATATACTTCTTGTGCTCTATTGAGATACGATTTTGTAATTAAAGGTAAGGTCAGGGATATTTTGGTCATTTATGGTTGATAATAAAAGGGAAATTTGCACTTATTGGATGGAAGAAACATTTGGTTATTTCATGCTTTTAAAATAAGGGTATTTTGGTTACCAGGATATGGGACACGTGGAGGACTGTGATTGGAAAAGAAGTAAACTCCTTGCTTCAAGGAAGTTTCTCTGCTGCAAGGAATCTTGATGAGCAGCAGCAGCAGCTTGCTGTGTATAAGAGCTGTCACAAGCTAGCGTTGGTTCCCAACTCTCCATCTCCATCCATATTTTAGTTCATGGAACACAACGAATATAAATGAGCTGGTTCTTTAATGTCTAACAGATAATTTTATTTCTTATCATTAGTTGTTTATAGCTTAATTATTCTATAAGACAAACAGACAGAGAGGTACATCATAAGATTCTCTTTGCTGGCAATGTTGCAGATATGAAGCTGCTTAACCCAATAAAAATTTGGTTTAACCCATTTCTTTACTGTATGTGGATGTGTAATATTAAGTGGGTCGGGTTTTATCAACTATCATAGAATTAATTCAAATCCAGTTCATTTACTCTCTTCTCACTGTCTGTTCCAAGCGATGGTTTGGTTTGATATCATCCTCAACCAATTGATTCACAGATGCATTCAGTGTCAGGCCCAGATCGGATAAACAATCTGATTGGGACACTGGTTTATTAATCAGTGATCTAATTGTTCAACCCATAATAATCATCAAAACAACCGGGACCCAGAAAGCCCATTGACTCACCGTTTGCCAATTCTTCGACCATCTGATCTGATCTGGGTTTGACAAACACTGGTTCAAAGCATTGGGCCGGGTTAGTATATCAATCCAATCTTGATTCATTATTTCATTATATTCGGGCCTTACCTAAAAGTCCTGAACTGTTTGAAGTCCTTCAACCCGGTTTGTGACAAGCTCAAGCAGTTCTACATGAATAACTCCAATGGGTTCACGTACTATTGTACTCATGTTAATATCATATCAAGGTCCATTAATACAACTCACCATCTCAGCCATTAGAATAATCAAAATTTCCAGACGTGATAATTAAAATATTGAAATCGAGAAGCAGAAAACAACGGTGTAATTAGCAGGCACTTCCCCTCTATATATTAATAGCAAGTTCGCAACATAGAGAAGCAGAAAACAACCAGCTAGTGTATGTTCTCTCTTAGTTATTAGAGAACTTTAATTCAGTTCTTCACTAACAAAGAGAGAACTAGTCGAAGTATTTGTTTGTTTCCTCAGAGATCAAAAGATGATTGACGTAGCTGGTGTTTGCTACAGATTTATCAGTGATCTGAAACAAGCTTTCCGAGCCGAAAAGTCCAGCTCAATCGACCTCGATACGGAGCCTATGTCGAAGCCACAAAATTTGACGAGACTCGATGATTTGGCAGCTCGAGCGCTGACCGTAGTGTTTGGCATGGATACCAGAGGAAGAATCAAGAAGGACAAAGCTCGTCATGTGGTGGAGAAGCTTGGTTTGATAGGCCAGGACGAAGATGAGTCGGAGTTCGAGCTTCCCGGTGTGTCCGAGGATGAATTGCAAGCAGAAGAGCTTGTGGGTTGCACGGAGGAGGAAAGCTTGAGGGAGACGGAGCTGTTGCGCCAGGCCTTCACTGTTTTTGACGAGGATGGCGATGGGTTTATTGGAGCATTGGAGGTGAAGAGGGTATTGGAATGTTTGGGGTTGGCGAATGGGTTGGATCTTTCTGAGTTTGAGAGAATGGTTGATGTTGTGGATTTGAATTTTGACGGGAAGGTTGATTTTAGTGAGTTTGAGTTGATGATGATGGGAGAAAAGAAATGACCAAAAAGAGAAGAAATCCAAGAAAAGACGAGAAAAGAGAAACCTTGGCACCCGCATCCAAATTTCAAGCCTTTGATTGCTTATGTAAGCAAGGATATCTTGCCACGTGGTAAGATGGAAACCTAATGTATTGCGAAACTTCCTCAAATGTATATCTTTTCACGATAAGAAAAAAAAAACGAATTATGATTTTTTTTTTTTTAAGTTGAAAGGCAAAGAACTTTCTATCAATGAAAATTAATACATCTCGTTTAGCACCATATCCTGAGAAAGTCAGGGGTGGCTAGACCAGGTCATGGATTTGTTATGAGATATAGCATAATGGGCTGCCTTGTACAAGAACAAGATGTGTATTTACCGAGCAAGAGGTAAATGTTCCAAGGGAGCTCGAGTCTCCAACAGTCCAAGAAGATAGAATGAGAACTCCAAGGGGGATCTGTAGAGGGGTTGACAGCATCCACAACAATTTTTGCATCGCTTTCCACCATAATGAAATCCATTGACATTGTGAGCGAGCTGGAGACCTTCCAAGCAGTTTTACAGGAGAGGAAACACTGTATTTTAAAGCTCTTCCTACTATAAAAACACCTTTGTCATCTCTGATAATCACACCTATAGCAGCACTCCCTGGATTCCTAGCACCATCAATTTAAGAAAATTCTACGGTGGTTTGCCCTCTCTTGAGGAAGGGTCGCCACTCGGGGAGGGGAGCAATCCGGATCTACTTCCCACACAAACTCTGCCCATTTCTACCCATAACACACTACCCCGTGAATTAGGAATATCTCCCCCTGCATAATACTATATAGGAGGATGAGATATTCTCCTTTGTGGCTGCAATGTTATGTGGGTAGAATGATTTATTTTCAAAAATTACTCGATTTTTCATTTTCTAAATGAATCACATTGTAGCTATGCCTCTTACCATATAAGGCCCAGTTTGGAAGGAATACAAATGCAAATATGTTGTAGACGTTTGGTGTGGCTAAGGAATTCAACAACCACAATAACTATTGTCTTTTGGTATGACTGTTGTGACTCAATAGTCACAATTACTCCACCAAAACTGCTGCATTTATTTTGACTCCTCCACTTCTGCCCCTCCATTTTTTTTCGCCAGAATTTTAGGGACCATGTTCCCTATTTTCTTCTATAAAAAGGGTGCCTCCTGGGGGTAGTAGGTGCATGGAGATAGAGCATTAGAAAGCTGAAGAGATTGGGAGAACTCCATCACCATCTTCCAGCAAGTTCTGCTCATATTCTTTCACACCAGATCAAAGCATTCATCTATGCTTTTGAGTGCTTCAAGGTTTTGTTAAAGGCATTTCGGCACTAGTAAGGTGGTCAGTTTGTAGTTCTCTTATCAAGGACATGAATAAACAAGTTTTCTTTCTTCTCCCGTGGATGTAGGTCTCTTTGACTGAACCACGTAAACCTGGTGCCATCTTTACCTTTCTTTTGCTCTTATTATTTGCTTTATAATTCACATATTTCTCAATTTTTATCTTGTTTTCCATACTAATTAATCGGTAATTCAGGGTTTAAATCCTATCAAATTGGTATCAGAGCATTGTTTTTGGGATTATTGACTGATTAATTTTGTTACTTATGGCACCGATGAAGTTTGACATTGAGAAATTTGATCGATCTGTGAATTTTGACCTATGGAAGCTCAAGATGAGAGCGATTCTTATTCAGAACGGCTTGGAGAAAGCCTTGGTAGGACAAAAGATTAAGCCTGAATCCATGACTGATGAAAAATGGGAGGAGATTGATATGAAAGCCATGTCGGCTATTCATTTGTGCTTATTGAATGAGGTTCTTCATGAAGTTGCTAAAGAAACCTCTACAGCAGAATTGTGGCTCAAGTTGGAGTCACTCTATATAACAAAGAGTGTGACCAATCGGCTTCTGTTGAAAAGCAGAGTTAAGGACCTTTGTCTTCGGGAAGGTAACTCGATTAAAACCCATCTTGATGAGTTTTTCTCAATTGTCATGGATCTACAAAATATTGATGTTGTAATTGATGATGAAGATCTGGCTATCACTCTTTTATGTTATTTACATGCATCATATAAGCATTTTAGAGAGACCTCATTGTATGGGCGCGAGGAGATTACAGTTGAAGATGCAAATAATGCATTGTTACAACGTGAACTGATTGATAATCAACTGACCAATAACTCAAGTAACTCTACAACCGAGGGTCTCATTGTTCGTGGCAGGCCATCTGAAAGAAGTGGCAATAGTAAGTCAAAGGGTCGGTCTAAGTCAAAGCATCGTAATTTGACTTGCAACTACTGCAAAAATAAAGGTCATGTTAAGGCTGAATGTTTCAAGTTGCAAAATAAGCAGAAACATCAAGTAAGTGGTGACACAAAGAAAGATTCTCAAGCCGAAGCAAGTGTTGCGGCGGATGAGTCAGAGAATGATCTTCTGCTAATTGTAGATGCAGTTGCAAGGAAGGGTTCATAATGGATTATGGACTCAGGATGTTCTTACCACATGTGTCCCAACAAAAGTGCATTCTCCACATATGAGAATTTTGATGGTGGAGTTGTTTTGATGGGCAACAACGCAACTTGCAAGGTTGGGTTGCAGATATTCAGTTGAAGGTGGAGTTCTTAAGGTAACCAAAGGTGCTTTGGTAGTTATGAAAGCTAACAAGGTTGGTAGATTATATGTATTGCAGGGAAGTACTGTGATAGAATCTTCTGCTTTGGTCTCGTCATCCATGTCCGAGGAAGATCTTACAAAGATGTGGCATATGAGGCTTGRACATATGAGCGAGAAAGGGATGACTTCTTTAAGCAGGTGGGGCTTACTTTGTGGGCATGTCACAAGTACTCTTGAATTCTGTGAACATTGTGGTTTTGGTAAACACAAAAAGGTTAGCTTTGCCAAAGGGGTACATAGGACCAAAGGTACACTTGATTACATCCATTCATGTTTATGGGGCCCTTTTTGTGTTTCTTCGAAGGGTGGAGCAAATGATCTTCTAACATTCATCGATGATTTCTCCAAAAAGGTACGGGTGTATTTTCTCAAAAATAAAAATGATGTGTTTGGAGTCTTCTTGCAGTGGAAAACTATGATCGAGAGGCAGACAGGGAGGCAAATTAAAAGGTTGAGGACTGATAATGGGCTCGAGTTTTGTAAGTCTGACTTTACAAATTATTGTTTGAAGGAAGGTATCGTTAGTCACCGCACCTATGTTGGTCGACCACAACAGAACGGTGTGGCAGAGCGGATGAACCACACACTCTTGGAAAGGGCTCATTGCATGTTGTCTAATGCAAGTTTGGATAAGTCTTTTTGGGTCGAGGCAATTTCCACGACAACCTATTTGGTGAACCGATCTCCGCATTCAGCTCTCAAGGCTAAGACTCCATTTGAGATTTGGTCAGGTGCTCCTACTGACTATTATTCTTTAAGAATTTTTTGTTGTCCTGCTTATACTTATGTTAATGATCGAAAGTTAACTATCTTTGTGGGCTATGGCTCCGGTGTAAAGGGTTACAAGTTGTATTGCCCTTTGAGCAAGAAAATCATTATTAGCCGTGATGTTATATTTGATGAATCACACATGTTATCTCCAAGGAAGGAGGATTCTGTTTCTGGTGATTCAGTTACATCACAGGATGCCCAAATGCAAGTGGAGGTGGAGGCCAGCCCATCTTCACAGCCTTCTCAGTCTATTTCAGATGAGCCGGTCACATTGGGTGATGTTCAGCCCAGTCAGGAGTCGCATACTATTGCCAAAGATAGACCGAGGTGACATATAAGACCACTAAGGAGATTTGATGATTGCGTATCTTATGCATTGACCGTCGCTTGTAAGATAGAAGGCACTACCAATCCAACCGCTTACGATAAAGCCATATCTAGTCCGTAGAGTGGTAAGTGGTTAGTTGCCATGGAAGAGGAGATTGCATCTCTCGAAAAGAATTGGACATGGGAACTTGTATCGCCACCACCCAAGAAGAAAATTGTTGGGTGCAAGTGGGTCTACAAGACTAAGGAGGGTATTCCTGGTGTTGAGGATGCTCGACACAAAGCAAGGTTGGCACAGGGTTTCAGTCAAGTTGCAGGTATTGACTATACCGAAGTCTTCTCCCCTGTTGTTAAACATGCTTCTATTCGTACCTTGCTTGCTTTGGTAAGTATGCATGACATGGAATTAGAGCAGTTAAATGTTAAAATTGCATTTTTGCATGGTGATTTGAAAGAGAAGATTTATATGAAATAACCATATGGTTTTGTTGTGGAAGGAAAGGAAGACCACATTTGCTTGTTGAAGAAGTCTCTGTATGGCCTTAAGCAGTCTCCAAGGCAGTGGTATAAGTGCTTTGACGCTTTTATGACTTCTAATGGTTAATCCAGGAGTGCCTTTGACAGTTGTGTCTATTTCAGGAAGCTCTCTGATGATTCATTTGTTTATCAGTTATTATATGTTGATGACATGCTCATTGCTTCTAAGAATAAGTCTGAAATTGTGAAGTTGAAGTCTCTCTTAAACAGTGAGTTCGAGATGAAGAATTTGGGTCCAGCGAAGAAAATTCTGGGTATGAAGATTATTCATGATCGTGAGAACGAGAAATTGTTTCTCAATCAGTAGAACTATATTGAGAAAGTTCTTGATCGTTTTGGCATGTTAGATGCCAAACCTGTCTCCACTCCTATAGTAGCTCATTTCAAATTGTCGGCGAAGTAGTCACCGAAGTCTAATGAGGAGAAGGTATATATGGCTCGTGTGTCTTACTCTAGTGCTGTTGGTAGCATAATGTATGCTATGGTATGCTCACGTCCAGATATTGCTCAGGCTGTCAGTGTTGTGAGCCGTTATATGTCCTATCCAGGAAAGGTTCATTGGGAAGCAGTGAAGTGGATGCTTAGGTATTTAAGAGGTACATTTGATTTCTGCCTTACGTTTGGAAGATCCACAGAGAAGTTTGTCGGTTATTGTGATTCTGATTATGTTGGAGATCTTGATCGGAGGAGATCTCTCATTGGCTATTGTTTCACTTTGGCTAGTACCTCTATTAGCAGGAAAGATTCACTTCAGTCAACTGTTGCTTTGTCTACAACTGAAGCTGAGTATATGGCGGTGGTTGATGCCGCTAAGGAAGCTTTATGGTTGCGAAATCTGCTTGGTGAACTCACAGGTAGTCAGGAGGCTACAGTGATCTATTGTGATAGTCAGAATGCCATACATCTGACTCATGACCAGATGTTTCATGAGAGGACCAAGCACATTGATGTACGTTATCACTTTGTTCGTGATATTGTTGAGAATGGTCGTGTTATGGT